AAAAAAAAAAAAAAAAAAAAAGGACGCATTAACAGGTAAATATCTCAAAAGATACCCAGGATCACCAAGAGTTGCAGGAAAGAAGGAAATATGAGTCAAGCACAGTACTATTTCATCCATTCTTAGCATGCTGCAGATCATAACAGGGTCCACACTTTCAAAACATAATACTACAAATTGGTGCAAATGATGGTGAATTTTCCAGGTTGGATGTTTAATTGAGGTAAAGATTTGAAAAGCCTCCTTCCCTTCTTTGTGTTTTCCTTTGTTAGAATAAGAAGGTGCAGGAGAGGGACAGTAAATGGTGAACTGCCACGAGGAGCAGCAACACAGAAAGTATACCCAAGTCATGAAACCCGTCAGTCTAAAACTGTTGTTTGATTTACATATAAGAAAAACAGTTTGACATAAAATTGCTGGGCCATAACTAAAATTATTAGAGAAAGGCAAACACTGTTTCAGGTTCATATTACGATCAGAAAGAGAAATCTTGCAAAGTGTAAAATGATAGGAATATGGTAACTTTACCAACAGCATCAATCCCGGCTAATTTGGGCATGAACTTGTTGATATGGTCCTCAGCTGCTTTACCTGCTTTCAGTGTCTCACACTCGAAAGAAACAAGAATCTTGTGCTTCTGATCCTTCTGGTCGACCATATTCACAACATCGTCCTCCCATCTAGTGATAAAGAAATACAACACAATTAGGAAAGTACAATGGAGAGAAGCCTTTAACTTATATAGCCAGCCTTAGCCATATGTGTGATGATCATTTCTGCTACATGAATATGCTTCTTTATTCCCTTGAACCTATCGTACTCTTTCGAATATTCTTTTTCATGGTCCTCAAAAGTTTTATCTTTCTAAAATAACAATTTTTAAAAGATAAAGAAACTAAGGTTTAGAGTTCTAAAGTACAGCTAATATGTTTGGAAGATGACTCCAGTCCATACACTATCAAATCCTAGATAAAATTTACACCCGAGTCGCAGCCCTCTACCCACTCCTTATGCCTCAAGTCAAAATCGCAATTGACCTCAGCAAAAGCATTATAGGGTGTGTACAGGTTTGCCGATAACAAAAAATTAAATGGATTCAAGTAGAGTTTTCTCGGATGCAAGAAATTGCTTCCAGTTCCATCCTACTCCAAGAGCGAGGACTAGAATAAACACTGGAAGAACTCTGAAAGGTTTCACACAAAAGAAGTTATATACATTTTTTGCTAAAGAGAGACGCTTCGGATTAAAGCAAGAACTTTCCTTTCTAAAACACTCTTCAAAGTAATTTTCAGGCTACTCACCCATGAGCATGGTCAACATTGTGAATCCTTGCAGCATCATGTCCTCTGCACTCCACTACGACATCCCTTTCTCTCTTTTTCTATGATACACCACAATTAAGGAAATAAGAAAGATCAAGCTTTGCTGATCACACCCTGGTAAAATCGCTAAGCTAACAAGTTAATTACAAAGAAATAATGGTAATATGATTGGAAGAGAACCATAGGTAATAGCTCTTACATTGTAGTCAATTATTGTGAGCTTGACCAAGCGGTAGTCCTCGCCCCTGCTGCATTCCCTTTCGCAAACCATCTCTTTCAGGGAGAAACAGAATTAGTTCAAAATCCAATTGAACACCGCAATATTTGATATATAGATACACTAGAAGTGATCTCAACCTATGTCAACCACGATAAAGGAGGGTCGCACTAGGTTGACGACCAATATAAAAATAGGTTAACCATGACAAATCCTACGAATACAGAATTTGTCAAGAGACTAAGAACATGCTCATCTAGACACACGTTACATATAGCGGGAATAGTTGCAAAAGATTTGAATGACCTAAGGCTTAGTTTGGAATTGAGTTATAGTAGATATTTATAAGCGACCTCAATTCACTGAACCTAATTTAGTTACTTCTATTGTATCTCAATTAGTAGATTGATCAGAGATGTAGTAAAAGTAACTAAATTAGGTTCTCGAAAAAAGGTGAAATAGAAGGGAGAGTTGAAACACAATATAACTTAAATGTTTCACTTTAGTCCATAGAGAAGTTCACAAGTAGGATATAAGAAGATTTCAAAGTTAATGACGTGTTATAAACCCAAACACTATTTCATTTTCTCATAACAGTGATATCTGGCCAGCTTGTAGGCATCTCGACTATACCATCAGGTACCTACTACTTGACTCTGCCCAGCAAAGCTTAGCATATCGACAATTTTACTGGGTACTTGCTACTTCCTACCCGTACAGGGACGGGATAACTTTGCGCAACAAGACTTAGGCAAGACTTAGATAGAAATAAAATCACCTAGCATAGTTATAACCCAATACTTAAAAGACCCAAATGCACTTTTATTTTTATTTTATGATGGTTTCCGAACCAATGCGTACACCTCGACTATTCCATAACAAATCTGCTACCTCTCACCAACTTAGGTACCAAATAACTTTGTCCACCATAACTTAGGCGGAATGAAAGAAATCAACCTAGTATTATTTGCCTCAAGTGGAGTCCGAACATAAGACCCCATAATTTCTAATCCACTTTATTGACTAATAGGCACCCTTGGGTGCAGAAGAACCAAATGTACTTAACCAAAAACACTAACCCTCATTAGTGGACAGAGCTACTCATTTCATTTTACCTGCAACTCGTGAGAGGTAAGAAGTATCAAGTAGATTAATCAAGGTGCACCCAAGTTATTTCGAACCAAAAAAAAAAAAATTTCGAAAAAAAAAAAAAAAAAAAACTAACAACCTATTCATTTCAAATAAGGAAAAGGAGATATATGATTTGTGACAAATTGAGTAATTATACCAGTGCCATGGAGACCATAACAGATAGAATGGGGAAGATGAACGAAATGACCCGAAATTGACCCGTTTTCTAGAAGTGCTATTGATGCTACCCCTTCCATAACTTTTCCTTCCATTTCTTCTTCACCTGAAAGTATTAAAAAGTTGTTTATATAAATAATAGTATTAACTTTACAAGAGCAAATCTTATGCACATACAAAGTTGATTAAACTTTGTACCCATTACTGCTTGCTGGTGTGTGTGAGAGAGCGGGGGTGGGTAGCCAGAGCGGTGGCAGAGGGCTCTTGGTGGGCCTGTAGAGAAAGGAATGGATCTAAAAGCAAGATCCACTAGTGAAAGCCCATTATGGCCCACCAGAAAATTCATTCGGACTCAGCAGAAAAGAAGAAAAAAAATTGGCATCCTATAACAACACATAATAGAAATTGGTAAGTTTTTAGCCTTATATTAGTTTTGGCAAAGATAGCCCCAAACAATTGGTATTATATAACCAAATCTTAAAAAAACTACTTTCTTTTATATTTTTTCTCAAAAAGAACTACACGCTTATTTTGGTTTCCCTCCCCCTTTCTCTCTTTGTATTTCTTCTTCTATATCATCTCTTTTGCTCTCATAGTTTAGCACAAATTCTTGCAAATTATGCAAAAAAAAATTAGTGGGATGAAAAGGTAAGGTTGATCTCACATCATAAAAATCAGAAGCAACAACTAAGAGCGAAAAAATATATTTCAACTTTGTTTTTCTTTTCTCTTCTTTTTCTTTTGTTGGATTGAATGAGTGGGTGTAATTGAAATTGGTTGAAAATACCTAAACGATACTATATATAAAATTTGAGCAAGATTAGCAAAAACTAACAGGGAGAAAATATATTTCAACTTTGTTTTTCTTCTCTCTTCTTTTTTTTGATTGGATTGAATGAGTGGGTGTGATTGAAACTGGTTGAAAATACCTAAACGAGGCTATATACAAAATTTGAGCAAGATTAGAAGTGATTTAGATTGATTTCAGGTAAAAAACCAGACCTAAAATCCAACTGCGACATGTGTATATCACGTTGTATATCGTGTACATCAGTGTATATCACACACAGGTTTTTAAGGACGTCTGTGTATATCACTTTGTATATCGTGTCTACAACATAATTTTTTTATGGGTGCCCATGTATATTACATTGTATATTGTATATATAACACAAATTTTTATGGATATACACAGATACATATAATATACATGAGATATCACTAATGTACATAGAGATATACATGGGTTACAATAGGGGATATACATGTGAAGTCGTCTTGAACTT